ATTGCTTTCGGAATACATGTATTCAACCCCACTCATGCCTTCTACTACCCCATTGGAAGCCTTGGGACGCTACAGTGGCTTCTACCCAGTGTGTAGCTCTGCGATAACTGATTGTTGTTTTTGATCTACTCCGGTTTTTTGTAGCTTACTTTTGTCATTGGTTAGGAATCTGCTTTTACCTCACGCGTTCCTCTTTACTGTCCTGAGTTAACTTAAAAACCAAATGCTAAATTTTATTCTCGGTTAGGTTTCACAATAGGCTATATGTATACTTAAATTTTATTTTTACTTTTAAACAGCAAAAGTAGGCATGGGCATAGTTAATGCAGTGCGGCGCGGAATAGAAGGTATGAAGGCATTATTGCGCATATTTGGGGACCGGGAAACACAAAGTGGTTCTAAGCCATGTTCATTAAGTAAAGGCCACACATTTTCGAAAGCAGCAAGGTAAATATTGTAGTATATTCACCTTCTATTCAGATTTGCTCCATGCGGCATGCACCCAAAGTTAATGGGACCTCAGTACTTGGAGACCCTTCGCGGGGTGCGTCAGATATACTAGATGATTAGAATTCGCACTGCATTCATATTTTTCATTCCTAAGTTATACTGGCTGCTTGTTCCTGATTTACCAGAAAGTTATTGTCTACCCAAGATTAAATGCTCTAGAATCCATATCCTAAATCATTTAAGTCATAAAATAGTCGATCTAGTAGTATTCTTCAGCGCATGTTTTTATTTGCGTGCTTATTCATAATCGCTTCGTCCGATCTATACCAAAGGGGCCAACATTCGAGTTCAACTATAACCCCAAACAACTGAAATGTCTCGGCGCAAACGCACAAAACCGTTCTAAGACACCATATGTGCTCTTCAGTTCGCGCCAGAATAAGTTGGAACAGGACTGGAGTGTCGCAATGCCTCATATCAGTGTCTCGGTTGTCACTGACGCGGCAGCTACCAGTTGCCACACAATCAAAGAGAACGATGACGCATTAAATGATGTAGATCTTCTTCTTGCCGACCTAGAACCTCAAGTAAAACCTCCTAAGTGCTCTTGGGTACCGCCGTGTGGACCGGCATTTGGCACGAAGGAAGAGAGGATGAGGAAGAGAAAGCTGCGGTTGAGAGATTTTGTACGACTAGATAATCTTTTTAGCGAGAGCTCGAGGTATTCTTTTAAGAATCAAAATTTTAAGCCTGAGAAGAATACTGCATTCAATAACTGGGGTGCTTTGATTGCTCCATTCACCTGTAAATGATTTTAGAAGATCTTAAAGAGATTTTGGCACAAAAGTAGTTGGGTTATAAGTGCACGATAACACTACCGTTGATTTAAATTTGAAGAACAGCCAACCTCCACCGGGTGCTTATAATCCTGTAAAGGACGCAAAGCCAACGAAAAATAACCAACTTGGCCTCGATTCATGGACTCTCGCTGCAGTGGTGAACCGTGCTCCCACTCCCAAGGTGAGGTGAGATGAAACCGGTATAATAACCGAATGTGTATTTTCAAGATCAAGTAGTTGGTTTCACTGATTAAGTCAAGTGTTAGCCGGTATCGAAGCCGAACAGCTGAACTGGATCACGAAGTGACATCAATGCTCCTCCTTAGGATGATGTTGGACCCGCTTGTTACACCCTGAAGGCACCAATGGATCAGGAGCTTGAAAATCTTAAAAAAAGATACCGATCCTTTGACTCACTTTGTGAAGAACGCCTGGCACCACTCAAACATGGCTACTTTGCGCAAGAAGTAAGTGAAATTTAGTTGGATTGCCAATTAAAGTGCGTAAAGTAGAAAAAATTTTGATTCCGTCCAGAGAATAGAGCACCCACTGATGGAAAATACCAACGTGCCATCCTTTGTCGAAATAATGCAGAGTGGAAGAAATAAGAAGAGAGGGGTGTTCTCAAAAACAGCGAGGTTCCCAAAGAGGTACGGAGAACGGTGCTGCCTTAATGCGCTTGGCTACAACATTGATAAGGACGTGAGTGAATGTTTCATTAGTGATTGCTATCTTAAAAGCTACCACTGTTCAATATGTAGCTAATTAGTCGAATTTTCTTACGCAATATTTTACAAGTTCCTATGCCGTAAATTCTATTAATGTAGACAAACTCGCCTAATCGACTATGAATTCACCGTTTTTTACACTGCACTACTAAAAAGATTAAAGTAGATCCTGGTCAGCATAAGAGTGAAGCAATGCAATGGAAGAGCTGTAAGCCGAAATGCAGTAAGGTGCCAACTGGATTCTATTGCGGCTCAACAATGACTCAACGGGAGTACAACAAACTGATTGGAAATATGGTGAGCAATTAGAGCGGTTTGTTGTTATTCAAACAATTTACACATTTTTTTCCATTTGTACACCTGAATAGACTGCTTTTCCCGGTCCAATAGTGATGAGCATATTTGACGGCAGTACTTACGTAGCCATAAAATTGCTAACATTTCAGACACCATTTACGGGACCGGGACGATACGATCCTTACAAGTACGAAAAGAAACCAACTCACAGGTATAGTGGCCTGGCAAAGGCAACGGAGAGAGCAACAGATCCTGATAAGGAAAAAAACTGGGCGTGAGTAGATTTACACCAAAATTCATCAAAAATTGTTTCATTTCAAGTAACAAATTTTTAGCTAGCTTGATGCGGGGCATAATTAGACTTGGTCATTTGTGATCAAGAAGTGTACCAGGTCGTTTATACATTTTCAGTGATCGACTTCGTCCGGCAAACGGAACCAAGAGGGAATGCGGCGAATGCAAGGAAGTTTTTGTTGGATCACATGTGAGGCTTTGCTAGAGGAAATATGTCAAGTAAGGTGAAGTAAAAATGCATCACTACCGAAGTCGAAATGCCTGCAAAGATGATCACTTCCTGCAATCAATATTACTTATCCTAAATAGACGCTAAGGAAAAACACCTTTTTTGGGTGAAGTAAGACCTAGCAGGAGTTAGCACCGGACTATGCATCGGATTTGTTTTCCACATTGAGATACAACAATCCAGGACTTAACACGTTTAATCATAATGCTAGTCGGCATGGAACGAAGCTCTACCTAAGACCGATTCACGATACCACCGGGGCGCTACCTGTGCTTTCAATGAGTCTGCAAATATACGCCTGACGCCCAGTCAGGATTCCTACCGGTGGTCTGCCTCAACAGACATGTTTTGAGAGCAAACTACTTAATGTACATAGGAATGCTTTGTACGTCACATCAAATAGATCATCTTGCGCCTTAGCTCAATCACGGATGACGTCGACGAAGAAAATAAATTAATATTTCCAAAACTCTGCTTCCACACAATATTGCTTACCTCAAACTATAGCAGCAGCTAATTTGCAAGTGAAGATTAGGTAAATACCACTAAATCGCAACATCTATGATTCCACATCTTGACATTGCAAAGGTTTAAGCGAACAATAAGACAAAAGTCATGGGAGCGCATGCAAGAGTCTTGTGGCTCAAGTCAGGAGTTGATGGAGAAGACAAGGCCAACAGATAAAAACGGGTATTCTACAATTAAACTTAGATACAGGAAGCATGAAAATACCTAGTTACAGGCTCAAAACAATTATGTACAGAGTCGATGTAGACTGACGAGTACATAAATACCGACGCATAGCTGCGGTGGAGTCTCTATTTCTGTTGTTGCTGCTTCGCAAGTTCGTCTCGGTTCAGCTCGAAGAGACGGATTGTCAGGCGTTGATTCATCTTGGCGAATTTCTGGGTGCACTTTTCTATGCAATCGAGCTGCGAAGAGAGGGAATAAGACCCGATTCAAGCCTCACACACAAAGTTAGCTGAATCTAAAAAAGCGAGCTAACCTCCTTGTCGTTGAGCTTCCGCGCAGTAAAGTTCATTACACAGCGATTGAAGCAAACGGTGCTGCACTGAACATAGAGGTCAGAGGTCTCCTTGATTTGCATCTAGAATTGCGCAAAACCTAGTTACATTGGCCAAAGAAGAATCGTGAGGGGAAGGCAGTACATCAAAGAGATCTTGCCAGAGGCAAAAAACCAGCCGGTAGGGTCATACTTCCTAGGAAAAAGGTTTACTGTTGTCTAAACAAGTGTGAAACCGATAGAAGATAAGCACCACATACCTGGTTCAAATAATCGGTCATTTCCTTGTCCATTGCCATCGTTGCAGCGTGCGCGCAGACTGACAAGCGCGGCTCACTCTTCACTATTCGCAGTCAGAACACTCCTCTGTCGCGCACATTGTCTAAATCGGTTTTTTATGTATCCTAGATGCAAAGCTTCCATAATGTGCAAAAGAGTTAGCTTAATTACCTTCCGGGTTCAGCTACGGTAGGTGGAATAAAACTTAGGATATCATTAAAGCGAGTTCCTTTCAAAATATTTACGAAAGTACAGTTCTGCCGCGGACTTTGTAAGCTTATAATCATCACTGTATTGTCTTGTTTATGTGATCATTCGATGCGATAGGGGTACTTTAAGTTTCGTCCAGCTCTCGTACGCGTAGGTTGGCCTTCGGTCCAAACTTGGGCATAATCCGTTTAATCACTTTTGGACACATGTGTCCGGCTTCATTTAGTGCCTTTTCAATATTGCGACAGCAAAAAGCAGACTCAGCTGTTTTGGTATCTACCGTTTGTGGCATATATCTACGGCGTAGGGAGGCGAATTTACAAAGGAGGTGGGGATCTCTGAATGGCTTGCAAAAGAGTTGAGAATGATGTCTGTGTCTGGTGCCACTTTGCTTCGCAATCCATAGACATGCTATCAACAACTGAATCGACACCGCCCTAAACCATATGGAAAAGTCTCGTGCCAAAAACCTCCTCTAGCATCCGTTAATATCAGAAATGGCAATACGGATTGTAGCGTCCCGAGACTTCCAATGGGTAGTAGAAGGCATAAGTGGGGTTGAATACATGTATTCCGAAAGCAATAGGAGAAATGGGGCCTGAGAGTGGCCCGAAGGCCAGCCCACGTGCACAGGTCCCAAACAAGTTCTAAAGTTACCGCCAAACGTCAGGTAGCCGCATAAACAAAGCACTACACTGCCCCTCTCTTCTTTTGAGCGACGTCCTCGGAGCTCCCCTTTGGTACACTTCATGCTCCAGCCATCACAACATATTCGGTACTACAAGAAAGCATCCACGAGCCAACCGCGCCAGTCGACAGACAACGCGAGAGCGAGGAACCGTACCTGATCTTCTCGGCAGTTTCAACTGGGTCTGGAGTTTCGTTCGGTCTGACAACCAGATTCGAGGACCCTTACATCTGTCGACCATCAAT